TTTTTTTAAGCTGGAGTCTCGCTGTGTCGCCCAGGTGGCAGTACAGTGGTGTGATCTCAGCTCACTGCAACCTCTGCCTCTGCCTCCCGGTTCAAGCGATTCTCCTGCCTCAGCCTCCTGGAGTAGCTGGGATTACAGGCCACAGCACCACCGCCTGGCTAGTTTTTGTATTTTTAGTAGAATGAGGTATCACCATGTTGGGCAGGTTGGTCCCTTGACTCTTGGCTCAGTTCTCAGCGCACTCCTCTGTCTTCCCGCATCACATAAGCCCCAGTGCTCTGGAAGCACAATTCACAGGGACCAGGGAGGGAAGAGAATCATTACTATTAGCCCTGCAGCTGAAACCTACTGTGTCATTCTTCAACTTCAACTGTGGCTCAGGCCCAAGTATTCATAAAACACCCATGGGTGCCCTCCCCCAGCCTCCAGCATAGGCCCACCCCTTTCATGGCCCTCCTCAGCCCTTACCTTCCTGTGCCCATCAATGACTGTCAAGGGCATGGCTGTCTCCGGCCAACTGGATGGGAGTGGCCTCTCATTACTCCAGAGAACCAAGATCTAGAGGATAGGGGGTTGTTCCTGAAGTCTGGGGTCTAGGGCAGAAGGCGGGTTGCAGGGGGCAGGAGTGATCTTTCTCAAGGTGGAAGAAGTTTGGGGAGTCAATTTTATAAGCTGCACATGGGAGAAGGGTTTAGTTGGATCCAAGTTCCATTCATCACTGCTCTCTCCTTGCTTCTGGGCTTGTAGAAGGCAGGAATTCTGGTGACATGAGGGTAGTGACCTATGGCTTTAGAACTCAAGAGAGTTGTCTGTGGTAGTCCCTAGCCTGGGCCCTGACTCCATGCTCCATCCACATCTTTTCTCGAAGCCTTCATTCTCTTCCTCAGGCTCTTTTATGACTCCCAGCCCAGCTCAATGGCCTGTTTCGAGCCGTCTCGTGTGTACCCTGGCTGAGCTAACTGCTTCACTTCCTCTGCAGGGACTCGTATGAGTCTATCTGTCTTCTCTAGAAGTAAGATTTGACAGTCTGTGTGCCAGAAAATGCTAACCCAGTCTGAATCTCTGGGCAGAATCCTTCCCTGCTTTTTCTCTGCTCAGCATGAAGCCCAGGACCGGACCTAGGGCTCAGAAAATGACTGCTGAGTAAAGGAATGAATGTTTCCTTCTCCAGCCTCCCCAAGAGACACCTGCTTTTCGATTTCCATGGGGAAAAGGCAACAGCAGGCCAAAGAGATGGGGCTGTTCTTCAGATTCCTCTTCCCAGCTTTCAGCCCCCGAGCTGCCCACAGCGCTCACCATCATTGCTGTGCCACATTCTTATGGATGAAAAAACAGGCTCAGAGGTGGAGTCGTTTTCCGGAAGTCACACAGCCAGTGCAGGCAGGTCTGGGATTTCTGCCTCATTCCCATAGACCTTTTTCTACAGCAGGGTCTGGGGACCTGGTCTGGGCTGCCTGTTGGTACAATACGAACCGCTGGGACCAGCAGTGCCTGGCCCATGGGCAAGGCCATGCCAAGGCAGTTCAGTGTCCTGGGTGTCACAGCTGTGACTGGAAAGGTGCCTCTTTCCCCTGGCTGGGCCTGGCACCCAGCGCCCTCCCCACCCTGGGAAGGCTGCCTGGGCCACAGCTGTATGCTTTCCCACTCACCCTCAGTTCTTGACTGCAGGCCAGACTGCCTCTCCCCCACCTCTTTAATTTCCACTCGCCCTGTACCTCCAGCATCTCACGGCACCACGCCTCCCGAGGGTAACCCACTCTGCCACTCAGCTGTGACTGGCTCTAGGGAGGACCTGAGTCATCCAGGGGCCCGCCGAGGTCAAGCTGGGGGGTGGGGGTGGAAGGCCTTGGAGAGGCCTAAGGGGACAGCATGTTCCTGCCAGTGAGACAGTCACGGGAGTTTCCAGAGCTGCGAGGCCATCAAAGCAGGAAAACACCTGACACCCTGGACCTGGGCTGGACCCACCACCCTCACCCTCTGGAGTCGCACGCGCTCCCAGGCGAGCCCTGGGCCCTGAGCCCCTCCCTCGAGCAGCTGCTGTAAGGGTATTTATAGCCTGGAGCGTGAGGGGGCAAGGACACGGGCTTTATTTCGGAAGTGATAATTCTAGTTCCAGTTGGGTGAACCCCGGAGGACCTAGTGTCCCCTCCCTCACTCCATCCTCACCTATACCTCTGGGGACAGTACCCGCTCGCGCCCAGTCCGCCTGGAAACAGTCCCTTCTTACTGAGTTCCAAGTGTGCAGGCCAAAGAGATGGGGCTGTTCTTCAGATTCCTCTTCCCAGCTTTCAGCCCCCGAGCTGCCCACAGCGCTCACCCTCCACATCCCGGCCGCCCTATGGCCATGGGAGTGACGAGTGCGGTGCAGCGCTGACCTCTAGTGGTCGGCGTCGGTAGTGCAAGGCAGGCGGCCAAAACTGCGCCGCCGGCGCGCGCCGTACAGGGGCCGGCCACTTGTTCCCGTCCTGCTTTCCTCGCCCACTCCTCGTTTACCCGCACCCCTCTGCGCCTTGGCTGAGGCTCAAGGATTGAACCTGACAACCTAGGCGTCTTTGGGTAGCTACCTTCCCGGGACTAGGAACCCTAGGAATGGGGTGGGGAGGCCGTTCCGTTTCTCCGCTCACCCTATCCCGCTGCCGCCCGCATAGGGCCAGGCACGCAGTTAATGTCTGCCATCCATCTATTCGTCAAATATTTGCGGCACATCTGCCTAGCCAGAGAGAAAAGGACATGAAAAGACCAGACCCCCGGGGCTCGCAAGCCAGTCCTGGGGCCTGACCATGCGGGAACCGCGACAAACACTGGGCTGCGAAAGCGCTAAGGAGACCGAACCCATCGGGGGCGGGGAGGAGAGCCAGGCAATGTCCCTGGAGGAGGCAATGCTCTGAAACACAAGCAGAAGTTAGCTGGGTGGAGAAGCGGAGAGCGGCGCTCCGGGCGCGGGGCTGAGCCTGCACTGAGGCTCCGCGGCCGAGCGCGGGCGGGCGGGAGAAAGTAAGGCCACGCCCCCCGGTTGTGACTGGCCAACCGGGATCCGACGTGTGGGCCCGCTGGCTGCCATGATAGGTTCTGTATCCCAAGGGCGGAGCCCGCAGGCAGGTGTCGCTTCCCCTGGGAGCTGGGCTAGGCCCTCCACTGGGGTCTCCGCGGGTCACCCCCTAGGGCTTCTCCAGGCTGCGGTACTTCTTGCGCTGCACGGACACCGGGTCCTTAAACAGCACCGGGTCCAGACGCAGACGAGAGGACAGCAAGGGCATGTGGCCGAACGCTGCCGCTATCTGGTTGATGCAGTCGGGGGCTGGGGCCTGCGGCTTTGGCCCGGGCCCCGGGCCCCTAGAGGCCTAAGAGGGAAAGAAGCAATGGGTTAACAGGCTTCTCTACCCTTCCGAACTCCCCACGCCCGTGCAGCAAGAAAGACTGGAATTAGACAGTGAGAGGAAATCCTCCCCACAACCCCTGCCCAATCCCCGCCATTTCCGACCAGTCCGCCTCAGCCCTCACCAGTGGAGCAGCCTCCTGGCGCTGCTTGCCATAGGGCACCTTGATAGGGGGCAGCTTGGTGACTGCCGCTACTAGGAAATTCATCAGGACGTCCACACAGGTGGGTGCCTCATCTGCCAGGGTCCTCAGAGCCTTGGGCAGGGAGTGGGTGAAGAGAGTGTGGTAATACCTGGGCAAAGGGAAAAGACAGGGAGAGGCTGCAGCCAAATTCATCCCCAGGCCCCATTCTCCTCCCTCCTGACCTCACCTCTCCCTTTGACCCCCATCCCCAAGCCTCTGAGCCTGGCTGCCTCAGAGAGCTCCCATCCCTGGCGTGAACAGCTCTCCACTGCGCTGTGTGCCCCGTGGCTCATCTGCAGTCAGTGGTGTGTTCCCTGTCCTCTCCCTCACAGCTCCTTGGGGCACCCATCCTTGGGCTCTGAGCGCTGAACCCAGAGCCAGAATTAGATGGTTGGGATCAGCTGGTTTCAAAGCCATCAAACATGGAAGCCCAAAGAACAGTTGTGGATGAACCAGGCTGGTACTGCTTCGGGTAAGTCTCACTTCACACGGCCCTCAGACAGGCCAGCCTCACCTCGCAGACATTAGGTTATTCACTAGTCTACTGAGAATTCCCTGCAGAGCTCCTGAGTAATCTACAAGAGGTTCCAGGTTATGCATTTTTGATTTAAACATGTTTAAGGAACACCTCTAAAGAGGTCTTACAGAATTCAGTCCCTGCCCCAAGACCGGAGCACTTCGGGCAGCTTCTGGAAGGCCTGGGATGTTCCCCAACTCATCACATCCACATTTATAAAGCATCAGTACTATTCTCTTTTTTTTTTTTTTTTTTTTGAGACGGAGTCTCGTGCTGTCGCCCAGGCTGGAGTGCAGTGGCCGGATCTCAGCTCACTGCAAGCTCCGCCTCCCGGGTTTGCGCCATTCTCCCGCCTCAGCCTCCCCAGTAGCTGGGACTACAGGCGCCCTCCACCACGCCTGGCTATTTTTTTGTATTTTTTAGTAGAGACGGGGTTTCACTGTGTTAGCCAGGATAGTCTCGATCTCCTGACCTTGTGATCCGCCCGTCTCGGCCTCCCAAAGTGCTGGGATTACAGGCTTGAGCCACCGCGCCCGGCCAGTACTATTCTCTTGTCACCCCACCACCAGCAAACCCACACACTGCCCGTACTCACTGCATGGCTCTACTTAAAATAACAATAGCTACCATTTGTGGAACCTCTGTGCCAGGGACTTCATTTAATGTTCACACCAGCCCTGGGAGGTGAATCCATCCCATTTTACAGATGAGAAAACAAACTCGAGAGAAGTGAGGAGATTTGCCCAGGATCCCACAGCTGGGAAGTGGCAGATCTGGGCCTTGAACCTGGATCCCTGGGGTCTAGGCTACCCTGCTCCGTTCGGGGTGGGGGTCTCTGGTCTTCTGATCCTCTGATCCCTGGGCAGGGTGGGGGTCTGTACCTATGGTAGAAGGCGGCTGTGGTGAGAACCATGGAGAATTCGTTGGTCCTCTCAGCAGTGTAGCCCCAGCCACCATGGGCCTCATCCCAGAAATGGCTTGACGTCAGGAAGCCCACCATCCGCTCTGGGAAGCTCTGCCACACCACAAAGGCAAAGTCCACCTGGAGAGGGACTCAAGTGAGCTGTGAGGAGGGACCTCCTAAATGCCTAGAACATCCAGAGAGATGGAGGCAGGGCCAGCCTGGCTGAGGGGCCAGGGCAGGACTCAGGGGAGAGGAGGTGGGAGCCATGGCTTGGAATTGGCTGGAAGTGTGGCATGAAAGCTTCTAAGGGCCACAAAAACAACTTCTCAAAAGAGTCCGTGGAAAGCCTCAACGAGTCTCCTAAAGAGGAGGCTGCCTGGCTTGCTGGGGTGGTTTCAAATGCAAGAGGTTGGACCTCATGACCTGGGGTCCCCCCAACCCTGGGAACCTGAGGGGCTTCCGGGGCCCTCTGGCTGTGTCCACCCACACTGGGCTTCTCTTGGGCCCAGCCCTCACCTCACTTGTGGAAAGACTGCTGCGGGCATCAAGGCTGAGGATGGCATCTGTTCTGATGGTGCTGTATGGGAGGAAGCGATCACTAACCTGCAGGGAGAAGGGGGAGGAGGACTCAGTCACTGGAACCTTCCCCCTACCCCCATCCAATAAGTAGGAGCCAATCAGGCACAGTGTAGATGCCTGGGCCATGCATAAAGCCTCCCTTCAGGCACAGTGTAGACACCTGGGCCTCGAATATGGCAAGCCAATGCAGAGCTCGTTTTGGAACCTGGGCAACTCATTTGACCTCTCTGGGTTTCAGTTTCCCCTTTGGTAAAATGGGGCAGTTGGTCTCTAGGGGCCCTTCCAATATTGACATCTGGAGATTCCTCCATTGTCATACTGTCGCATCAACTGTGGGAGGAGTGTCAAACATCCCTCATTTGAAAGAAACAGATCCAGAGAGATGAAGGGACTTGCCCACAACCATGTGGCAGGCAGGTGGTTCACACCAACCACGGTTCCCAGAAGCCTCCCCTTCCTGGCCCAGTGTGCTGCCCTTGGTCCATATTTTCTTAAGATCCCAGGTTTCTCCTCTGTTCCTCATCTCAGATATCAGCGCACTCCTCTGTCTTCCCGCATCACATAAGCCCCAGTGCTCTGGAAGCACAATTCACAGGGACCAGGGAGGGAAGAGAATCATTACTATTAGCCCTGCAGCTGAAACCTACTGTGTCATTCTTCAACTTCAACTGTGGCTCAGGCCCAAGTATTCATAAAACACCCATGGGTGCCCTCCCCCAGCCTCCAGCATAGGCCCACCCCTTTCATGGCCCTCCTCAGCCCTTACCTTCCTGTGCCCATCAATGACTGTCAAGGGCATGGCTGTCTCCGGCCAACTGGATGGGAGTGGCCTCTCATTACTCCAGAGAACCAAGATCTAGAGGATAGGGGGTTGTTCCTGAAGTCTGGGGTCTAGGGCAGAAGGCGGGTTGCAGGGGGCAGGAGTGATCTTTCTCAAGGTGGAAGAAGTTTGGGGAGTCAATTTTATAAGCTGCACATGGGAGAAGGGTTTAGTTGGATCCAAGTTCCATTCATCACTGCTCTCTCCTTGCTTCTGGGCTTGTAGAAGGCAGGAATTCTGGTGACATGAGGGTAGTGACCTATGGCTTTAGAACTCAAGAGAGTTGTCTGTGGTAGTCCCTAGCCTGGGCCCTGACTCCATGCTCCATCCACATCTTTTCTCGAAGCCTTCATTCTCTTCCTCAGGCTCTTTTATGACTCCCAGCCCAGCTCAATGGCCTGTTTCGAGCCGTCTCGTGTGTACCCTGGCTGAGCTAACTGCTTCACTTCCTCTGCAGGGACTCGTATGAGTCTATCTGTCTTCTCTAGAAGTAAGATTTGACAGTCTGTGTGCCAGAAAATGCTAACCCAGTCTGAATCTCTGGGCAGAATCCTTCCCTGCTTTTTCTCTGCTCAGCATGAAGCCCAGGACCGGACCTAGGGCTCAGAAAATGACTGCTGAGTAAAGGAATGAATGTTTCCTTCTCCAGCCTCCCCAAGAGACACCTGCTTTTCGATTTCCATGGGGAAAAGGCAACAGAATATTGGGACTTACAGAAGAAGGCAGCAAGAACACTTGGAAATCGTCCCCATTCCTCCCCTCAAAATGAGTGGTCATCCTTGGGGTCTGGAAGGCTTCAGGGCCCTGCCCTGTCCTTGCCCCCACCCTGGATCCCAGGACTCCAGCTGGGAAGGGGGCAGACCTGGGTACAGTGCTGGGAGCCTGCCACCGCCTGGATGAGCTTCAGAGGGGGCTGACCTGGGGGCCCCACCCAGATCAGGGCGCTGAATCTGCCCTCAGGGCGGGAGCCTGGGGGAATGAGACACAGGCTATTAGGGTGGGAGGGAACAGAACCCCATGAAGAGTGACCTGAGTAGGGAATCCCGGGGGCCAGGAGAAATGTCAGGGCTTGGGAAGGGTCTTGGTGGGGCTCTCCAGATAAGGCTGAGCAGCCCTAGGTAGAACTGAGGGGACTTCAGGTTGTCCCGCCCCCAGGGCATACCCTGTTGCAGGTGGTAGAAGGGGAAGTCCTGGGGGCTTGTGGAAAAAGTAGACAGGGCCAGGAGTGCCCCTGGGGGGCTGTTCCACAGTAGCGAGGGGTGAGCTGATGTTCCAAAGATCCGGTCCTGAATAACCTGAAATGAGAAAGGAGCTGAGCAGAGCGAGTGGCCTGTGTGTCCATGGCCACACCTCCCCTTCCAGGCTCTGGGGAGGGTGGCAACTACATCACCAGTCCTCTGGGGTCAGAAGCTGAGGTCTAGAGTAGGGGGCACTCCATGATGTTGCTCCAGAGGTGGGAGATGGTGGCAGGGTCACTGCTTCCCCTTCCTTCCTCACTCATGACAGATGTCACTAATGGGTCATGACATTTTTCAGGACTCAGAATCCCTCCAAACATAGCACCCCAGGCAGCCGTCAGTGGTCAATTGGCATTGGCACGTGCTTTGAAATCTATTTGCTACAGCGGTCTTCTCTACAGATGGGGAAACTGAGGCCAAGATTGGAGAAGAAACTTGCCCCAAATCTCACAGCCAAGTCTCAGATTCATCCCAGGACCATCTTCAAGGAGTGGGGGTGTCCCCAAACGCTGGGACAGAGAAGTATGGAGAGGTGACAGGGATGGAGCAGGAGTCAAGGGCCAGGACCCCCATCAGGTGAGCCCCCGCACCTCCAGAGTGGTATGGATAACCTTCTCCACCGAGGAGAAGTAGGCATCCCATAGAAACTGGGTCTGCTGACGCAGGGCGAGGACCCGTGCAGGGGACATCTCCTGGAGGGCAGCCAGGACCTGGGGCAGAGAGGGATAAAAGTGCCAGATAATAGAGCAATTTTGAGCCCAGGAAGTTGAGGCTGCAGTGAGCCATATTTATGCCACTGCACTCCAGCCCGAGCAACAGAGCAAGACCCTATCTCAAAAAAAAAAAAAAAAAAGCATTCAGGGGTCACACAGAGTTCGGTCTGAATGCCACTTGGTAACCATGTGACTGTGGTCGAGCTGTTTAACCTCTCTGAGTATTTGCTCATTAATTGCTTAGTACATTGTAGAGGCTCAATAAATAAATGGTAATTACTATTAACCCCCTCTACCATTCTCAGGGGATTCAAGGCAGGTCACACATATATTTTTCAGAGCTGGACAGAATTTGTTTCATCAGGTGGAAAAGTCTCCATGTGTTTTGCTTTCCCACTCCAGTCCCCATGGAGGCGCTCTGAGTCTGAATTGTTTTGTAGCCTTCCCCTAAATTGGTATTTAAGCAGTCACAGGCCATTGGAGCTGGGCCCATGGGGATTGTCTGGTCTAGCTCATCCTGTTGTAGAGATGGGAAAACTGAGGCTGCAAGAGGAGCAGGACTTGCTCTCAGAGCCCTTAGGAATCTCTAGCTCCATCGGATCCTCTGGGAGCCCCCGAGGGGAGACTTGGTGCTGGGAGAAATTCATCAGTATCCATACAAGGCAGATAGGAATGAGGACTGAGGCCAGCCTCGATTCAGGATTCTGGGTCCCTCCCCTGTCCTGGGTCCAGTTCCCACCCTGTGGGCAGGGCTCTGAGCTACCTGAAGCGGGAGCCTCTCATCAGCTACGATGGCTGCCTTGGTCCAGTCGATGACCTCGGAGAAGGGCAGCTCCCAGCGGGGACTGAGAAGCACTGGGATGCAGCCGGCCTGGGGGGCGGGGAGGTCACTGGGGAGCCCAGCCCCACCCTGCACATACTCACCCCCCACCCAGTTCCAAGTCAGTAACTGCTGCTATTGGGGGCAAGGGGCAAAGAGGACAGGAACATGGGGTGTCTCAGGGAAGAGAGGTTATGGTTGTTCTGCAGAGTGTGCAGTGAATGGGGACACAGGCACACCTGAGTCCAGAAGTAAAGGAGCAGGCAGCTCACTGCCCCTTCTCATTGGCCTGGACCCAGCCAGCTCATGAGTGCTGGGGGACAGAGGACAGGTGATGCTCAAATTGGGGTTGTACCTGCAGGGCTTGGAGGAAGCGCGAGGCAGCTTCTGGACGGTGGCCAGAGATGAGGCAGAAGGTGGCATTGGGCAGAGTCTCCCCGCGCTGGGTCCTAAAGAGGCACACAGGAAGGTCCCGGTACACATGAGCTTAGACAGTGCCCTTCGCCCCACCGGGCTCCCTCAATGGGAGCACCCCACACCCCTGCACCCCACACCTACACTCCCAAATGTGCAAACCCACTCGTGCATATGCACAGTCGCACAATGACACACTAACACAAACACAAGCCTCACACCGGCCACGCGTCTGTGGTTGGAATAGGAGGCAGGAGCCCTGCATTCTAGCTCTGCCTCTTCCCTCAGTGGCTTTAGAAACCTCCCTTGCCTTTCTCTGACCTCAGTTTCCTCATCTGTAAAATGGGAGGCAGAGGGTGCTGATGTTTCCAAGGCCCTGCCTGACTTAGACATGCACGTCTGCCCTCCCCGACTCGGCCACAGGCAGACTTTCAGCACCCCTTGCCTGTGTGGCCTCTGAGCCCAGCCCTCCCCAACGCTGAAAGCCAGGCCCAAGAAAGGCTCCTCTGTCATGAGGTGGGCTGGGCCCCCAGCCTGGAACCACACAGGAAGCTGCTGCCCAGAGGCCCCCTGGCCCAGAGGACAGGCTTCCTCTGTTCCTCCCACCTACCCCCCTACCGCCACAGCCCAGGGCCACACTCAGGCTGTGTGTGCCTGTGGGGGAGGGCAGGAGTCCCAGCCTCCTCAGAGCCACCCCCAGCAATTGTCCACCCAGGGGACCATCGCCTGTGACCCAGTCAGGGGAGGGATAAAGGGAGGGACCAAGACACAGGCCTGCTCAGTGTGGGACTCATGACTATGGCTCTCAGGGTCCTAGGACCCTCCTCAGTTACAGCCTGCTTGACTCTGAGCCTGAACCTCCAAGAAGCAGACCTGGGAGTACTTAGGCAGCCTCGGGGCCATGCCCCATTGAACAGATGGGGAAACTGAGGCCCAGAGAGACCCAAGGACCGGCTCAGGGTCACAGATAGGGTTGGGGTGGAGCTGGGACTAGAGCAGAGATGTGCCAGCTCCTGACTCCAAATTACCTGAACCACCCCAGAGCTGCTGCTTTAGGGGTCTCCCAGGGGACCCCAGCCTTCTTTCTCCTCCCTCCATGCTTAAGTGTCCACTAGGCCCTCCCTGGAAGAAGCCACAAGTAACCACCAGGACACCCTTCACCTCATTAAAAGCCACAGCAGAAGCCAACCAGGTACAGCCCCCTTCACCCCCAAGTCAACCTCTAAGGAACTGAAAACCTCTAGGTTAAGGCTGAATAAACTGCACCACTGAGCCTTAACTTCCCTTGATCCTCTGTGCCTTTAAGATCTCTTCTCCCTCACACTGGAGGGCCCCTCCCTGCCTTGTCAGCCTGAGGAAGTCCTCCTACTCATCTTTTTCTTCTCAGACAAGCTCTTGTTCTGTCACCCAGACTGGAGTACAGTGGTGCCATGACAGCTCACTGCAGCTTCGACTTCCTGGGATCCAGCAATTCTCCTGCCTCAGCCTCTTGAGTAGCTGGGACTACAGGCATGTGCTACAGTGTGTGTTTTTCTTTTTTTTTTTTTTTTTGTAGAGATGGGGTCTCTCTGTGTTGCCCAGGCTGTCTCATACTCCTGGCCTCAAGTGATCCTCCTGCCTTAGTCTCCCAAAGTGTTGAGATTACAGATATAAGCCACCACACCTGGCCTTTTCCTATACTGTCTTAATGTCTAAGCTGAAACATCACCTTCTCTGGGAAACCCTCCTTGATGTCTCCAGAGATGGTTCTCTCTGCTCCCGCCTCCCGGTGGACTGCAGTAGTAATGATCCAAGCTAACCTATATTGAGTATGTACTTTGCTCCAGGCACTGTTTTAAGTGCTTTACATGTATTAACTCAGTTCATTCTCATAGCACCTCTATGAGATAGGAGGGGAGGTATGCACTGTTATTATCTCATTTTACAGAGAGAAAACTGAAACCCAAAGAGGTCACACAGCTCTTGAGTAGAGGAGCCAGGTAGGCAGCCGGTGCAGCCTCTCTCTGCTTAACAATGTCAAACAATCGACTTGCCTGTCTCTCCTACAAGGCTGAGCTCCTTGAGGATGGGGCTGTACCTCCCTCATCTCAGCATGCCCAGGGCCTAGCAGAGTGCCTGGTGGAGAACGGCAGCTCAGTGGGTGCTCAGTGTGACACTAAGGAATAGATCTGGGACCAAGAGACCAGGCATCTGGGGGGTCAATTTCAGCAGAAATTCTAGTGATGGAGCTGGCTGAGAGTGCAGCCAGTGGGTGGTCTTTGGAGGTGGTGAGTTCCCCATCAGTAAAGGTAAATAAGTAGAGTCTGGATGAGCACCTTTGGCGGGGAACAGGGAGTGTGTTACAGAGGAAACTTGTGCATCTATGTGGTGACCACTGAAGAAGTCTTAGGCTTCTGTGACCACGAAAGGTACCCGTCATAGACTCAGGGCCTCAGTACCCAAGGGTGGTCAATGTGGCTGTGCCCATGGCCTCAGTGCTCTACTAGGGCCTGGCCATAGGCAAGGCCACATTGTGACTTCCATGTGCCCTAGGCACGTTGGCCTTCACAGTCCCTCCTGCCATAAAAAAAAATATAGTTGATAACTGTGTTGGTATAAAAACAAGCAATATTATATATTAAAACATTTTCTGCTGGGCACCGTGGCTCACGCCTGTAATCTCAGCACTTTGGGAGGCTGAGGCAGGCGGATCATTTGAAGTCAGGAGTTTGAGACCAGCCTGACCAACATGGTGAAACCCTATCTCTACTAAAAATACAAAAATTAGCTGGGCGTAGTGGCGCGTGCCTGGAGTCCCAGCTACTCCGGAGGCCGAGGCAGGAGAATTGCTTGAACCCAGGGAGTAGAAGTTGCAGTGAGCCAAGATTGTGCCATTGCACTCCAGCCTGGATGACAGAGCAAGACTTCGTCTCAAAAAAAAAAAAAAAAGTTTTTTTCTTCTACCTGAAAGTTCTTTTTTCTTTTTTTTTTTTTTTTGCGACAGGGTCTCTCTCACTCTGCTGCCCAGGCTGGAGTGCAGTGGCATGATCTCACTGCAGCCTTGACCCCCTGGGCTCAAGCGCTCCTCTCACCTCAGCCTCCCAAGTAGTGGGACTACAGGCTTGCACTACCACACTCAGCTAATGTTTATAATTTTTGTAGAGACAGGGTCTCACTATGTTGCCTAAGCTCAGGCGATCCACCCGCCTCAGCCTCCCAAAGTGCTGGGATCACAGGCGTGAGCCACTGTACCCAGCCCTGATTTTCAAAAAATGAAAATATTTTCATGAGCCTATAAAAGTATCATGGGCCCTAGGTACTGACTGCGCCCCTTGTTCCCAATGGATACAGCCTGGGGGACTTTAAAGCATGCATCCAATTTATGTTAAAAAATGGGGGAGAATATACATATTGCTTGTACACATGCAGAGTTTCTCAGAAAAGACACATAAGAAACTGGAAGCGGTGTTTGGCTCCAGGCAGGAAAACTGGGTGGCCGGGAGACAGGGATAGAAGGGAGGCTTTTCACTCTATGCCCTTTTGTGCCTTTGGAATTTTGTACCATGTGAATGAATTACCTATTCATAAAAATGAATAAATAACAATTTGAATGGGTGGAGATTTATTCCAAAGCAACAAGAGACCGTTCAACCAAGGTGGAAAAACATGGGCTTTGGAGCCAGAAGTACAGGGCTGAATCCCAACTCCACTGTTTCCAAGCGCCTGATTAGAAAAGTGAGGGGCCCATGGAGAACAGGGAACCTTGTCACCCTGGGCTACTCCACTCTCTGGGCCTCAGTTTTCCGTTCCCTGAAATGGAGATAATAATACCTCCCTTGAAGGGTGCATGACAGGATCAGCAGTGACTTAGGTAAAGTGCCTGGCACAGCACCTGGCCCAAGTCAGGCACTCCTCAAATGTAGCCTCCTCCTCTCCCGACTCTCGCCCAGCTGAGTGAATGTGGGGCGGTGGCAGGAACTGTGAATGGCCTCTTTCTCTGGCCGGCACTTGTGTATTCAAGCTATCTCTCTCACTCTGTCCCTACGCTGTCTGGCCCAGGCAGCTGCCTGGCACTTCGGAGAAAGTGAGGCTCAAGCCACTCCAGAGATGACAAGTCCTATCACCTTCAGGGAGGCTGAGGCCAAAGACCACACTTGAAGGTCAGAGGACAAGGCTGCCAAGCTTCGCCCCTGGGAAATAAAACTTATCAAAAATGCTACTCAGAGGGTGACCCACGCTAATTAGAAAACTGTGGGTGGCTCTGGCCAATTTCAGATCCATTAGTAAACAGTTAATGAGCGCCTACCTGCTGCACGCAGTTCTCTAACTTCCAGTTTCTCAAAGAAGTTCAGACTGAAATCACTTTCAGGTTCATCAACAATGAACTGTGCTTAGCGGTAACTAAAGTCAGCTGAAAAAAGAACTTCCTGCAAGCAAGAGTACCTGAGTGCCTCATCAGAAAAGTGAGGGAGGGCATGGCAAAGGGAGAGCCTTGTTGCCCAAAATGAGCTTCTGCCTGAGCTCTGAGCTGCAGGGGCTTGAGTGAGATCCCTGACTTTTCAGGCTCCTGCCCTGGAGACCATTAGGGATGCGTCCTGGCAGAAGGACCCTGGGGCTGACCGGGACAAGTCCATTCTGACTCCTGGCTGTGAGGGCTACCTGTACCTTCAGGAGGTGGAAGGATCCCATTCCCACAAAAGCCCTTTGGCTGAGAGAAGTCCCGGGAGCCCCAAGCAGAGGCAAGAATTCCTGGGAGGGAGTGGAGCTCAGAATAGCTGATGTTGTTCCAGCAGAGAACAGAGAGAGAGACCTGAGGGAGGAGCAAAGGGAGGATACCAGAGCGACAGTTCCCTACTCAGGTCTGACCCAGGAGGGGCGGGATTCAGAAGGAATCCTCTGCCACCGGGGCCCTGGACAGCCTCGGAAGGACTCTCATTCTGGCCTGTCCAGCTAGCCTTTGGAGGCTGCTGGCCTGCTGGGGACACAGAGGAGTTAGAGTACTTAGGGAATAACCATCACCTGAGGCGCATCACCCCCAACTAGCCCAGGTGGAAAAGTTTCCGCACAAGCTCACCACGTCCCACAGGCCCCCAGCCCCTTATATGTCAAGGGCCTCTCACTGGCAGGAAATTCTTCTTTAGACCTGACCTACGTCATATTTGCTATAACCAAAGGCTGTTTCCTTGAGAGGTTAATCCCCAAAATTAGACACAGGAACAGCTTCCAGCTGTGACTGTGAGGCCCCTCTGAGGCATTTGATGAGGTTGATCATAAACTTCTGCTTAAAACTCAGAATTCTCATACTGAAGGCTTTGGAGATAGGCAATTCTGGATCAAAATACTGGCTCTTTCCAGCTGGGTGGCCTCAGAAAAATTACTTAACCTGTCTGAGCTTTCGTGTCTGGTACACAAACACTTAAATGCTAACAACTAGCGTATTTTATTATAATCATTATTTATAAAAGTGCTTAGCACAGAGTAAAGCACTATACAAGTGTATGTGGGGAAAAAAATATTAGGGCAGGAGGTTTGGAATGAGTCGTATTTTATGTTTTGAAAGACCCCCAGGGGAAAATTCCAAAACCTACCTTAGACACCCCTTGTGTCAAGTCCCCATCTTAATGGAAGTGCTCTCTGCCATCTAACTTGGCTCCCACCTGCTGCAGCTGAGGCCTAAGTCTGCCAGGACTACCTGGTTCTCCCATCTCAGTTCTGTCTTCTACCCTGGTCTCTGGGCTTGTGTCTGTTCCAGCCCCCTCCCATCCAGCCCCCAAGGCAAAAGGTTCACTTACTGCCCAGGTCCAGGGTCTTGCTCACAGCGTGCATCCCAGGGGCAGGCAGAGGAGCCGGTGTCTGCTGTGCGCCACCCACCCCTCTCCTCTTCCAGGGCTAGCAGGGCTATCCCGGGCTGGGGGCTGTGTTGCTGCAGCTGGCCAGGAGCCCCACCTCGCAACGGGTGGGCTTCAGGGAGAAAAGGGAGGGCCACATCAAAGCCAGGCCGGAAGGAGTCCACCGTGGGGCTGGCCTCAGCTACCATAGCCTGTCCCAGCTGGAAGGTCTTGGGGCAGGGAGCTGGGTGGAGACGGAGGACCAGATGGTTCCTGCCCCTGTTCCACTGCAGAGGCATTGAGCTGCACTCTCCAGTCTGGGCATCCAGGCTGAGGAGGAGAAGGAGGCAGGCCCCAGCAGGGCTGAATGTGTGGAAGCGAGAGCCCTCAATGGAAGCCAGGATCCTGTGGTGAGTCTCAGAGATCGGTCCAGAAGCTGGGTACACGAATACCTTAAGGCCATCGCCCCTGCACTTCGAGGTGTCAAAGCAGGCTCCCCAGTTGCAGCTGCCACCATGAGGGGCTTGAGGTGAAGCGGCATCTTCTGGGAGCTCTCCAGCCTGGGAGAAGCTCTGCAGGAGCTCTGCGTCCAGCCAGCGCGGCCAGCCTTGGGGAGCCCCAGGCCGAGGTCTGGGAGGCAATGCCAGGCGGAGAAGGGAGAAGCCTCCCAGCAGGACAAGCAGGAGCCAGGAGGCTGACAGTGCCAGCCAGAGGGACTTTCTTCTCCTCCACGACTGCATGTGGCCACCCACAGTCAGGGCTGGGGAAGCTGGGAGGCCTCTGCCAGCAAGCAGGAAGAGCAGGGCCTGGGGCGGGCGACTAGAGCTGGGACCCACCTGCTAGTCCTGCCCTCTCATTGTACAGATGGGAAGACTGAGGCCCATTGAGACCAGGCTGCCTGTCTAAGGTCAGACAGTGAGTCACCAGCCAGGCAGGAGGAGGCCAGGTGGGACCCAGCTTGCTGGCCTGGCCCCCCTGCCCTCAGGACACTGCCTTCTTGGTTTAGACAACCAAGCCAGCCTTTGCCCTCCCAGCAGGGGCCCCTGCCCCTGGGCACTGCTCTGGCTGACACAACCCCTGTCCAGAATGCAAGGCTGTGTCCCCCTGACCTCCTGGCTGCACCCCTTGACCTTGCCCTCAACTGAGAGGAAGGCTGTCTGCCAGGCCATGGGGACCAGTCAGAGCTCCCACAAGGGGCGGCTTGGCCAGGGACGGGCTGGAGGGAGCTGGGCTGGTCTTCCCGCTCCTCCCCTTGCCTGAGCAGCCCTGGCTGCCCCTGTGCCCGCTGGCAGACACTCCTGGACTGTGGCCCCTGTGGCTGGAGCTAAAATTAGACCCTGCATCCCATGTGGATCATCGGAGTCAGCTGAGGTCACAGCCTGGGTGCAGCTGGTGTCCCCCGCCTTGGATGGCCAGGCGGGTTCAGGGTCCTGGTCCCCATCAACTCTGCCGCTGCACCAGCTCAGGAAGTGCAGCCCCTCTTCCCCGCAGCCCAGCAGCTGCCCTGCACCATCTGGCTTGGAGCTATCACAGCGCAGGGGCCAGGGCCGCTGTGCCAAGCCCCCCAAACCCTACGGTGTCTTCTCCCGTCCCTCTCCAGTCGGCATCTGGCCCATCTAGATCTCTTTCCTTAGCAGCAGCCTGGCTCCTCCCCTGCCAGCCCTGATTCGCTCCTGGCTGGGAGGCAGGGTCTCCATTTAACCCCTTTCAAACCAGTTTCCTCAACTGCTTATCAAACCATCAAGTACCACAACTCACAGCTGGCCATGAGCTAGCACAGCCTCTGTCTCTCAGTCCTCCAGCCACCCTCCAAGGCAGAGATTTACCTGTCATTTCTTACAGATAAGGAAAGCTCAGAGAGGGGGCGAACTCTTCCTAAGGTGACCCAGCTAAGAAGTGGCAGGGTGGGGATTTGAATCCTGAGCTCCTGATCGTCGGCCACCCCAGCTGTGGGCCCCGTGGCTAGAGCAAAAACTAGACTCTGCACCTGCTGTGGGCCATCAGAGTCAGTGGAGGCCAGAACCCAGGTGTAAGGAATCTCCGAATCAGCAGATGAGAAGGTCAACAGATGAGACGAGTGAGGAATTAAGGGGTGGGGGTGGTGGAATTGGGTAAGGTGTCCCCAACTGTCCCCAGGATCGGTCTTTTTTCCTTCAGCAGCCCCAGCCCCGATCTCCTCCAATTCCCAGCCTTTTACCCCAGTCCTTATGGAAAGTTCTTCCTGCACTTGACTCTCCATTAGTCCAGACCCCATGCAGGGATTTCCCTGGTCAGTGCCCTGTGAGGGGAGTCAGGAGTGGGTGATGTCAGCCACTGAGGTATCTCTGGGGTGATGGGGGAGACACACTCTGGCCACGAGGAGTCCTGGGCTGATGAGGGAAGGCACAGGGAGTCGGCAGACTTGAGTGGGCTCTGCCTCTTCTCCTGACTGCCTCGGGAGTGTGGGGCCTCTGTCCCCTTATCTCTGGGATGGGCATAATCTCAGCCAGGAATGGGTTGCCAGGTTGACCCGGGCCTGTCCCCTGGGGTCCCTCAACAAGGGGTGGCCTCCTTTCCCCTGCGTGCCTCCCCTTGATCTTGGAGGGCTGCTGATCAGATGAGAGAGCCGCCATGGGACTTTTTACCCTTGGTGAGCGGCCAGCCTAAGACTGTCCTAAAAATGGCCCACAAAGGGGACACTGAGCTCTTGGCACTAACCGCTCAGCCACTCAGTAATGAACTGTGGCTCCTGCACAGCTCAGTTTTCCCATGCTGAGAGGCACCCACACAGGCCACTGGCTGCTCCTGCTTCACATGCCCCCCTCTCACTGTGCCCAGCCAACGCCTCATCCTGCAGGAGTCAGCTGAAAGCTTCCTTCCCACAGGAAGCTTCTCCAATGCTCCCCAGGCTGGGTTAGAGCCCCCCTCTAGGTCCTCATGCCATTCCTTCATCCCTCTATCCCCATACACAGTCATCCATTCATCTAACAAACACTATGAGTGTTGAATATGGGCCAGGTTCTGAGCTAGGCCAGGGGACACGGCCCTGAGTAAGAGTAATCATAGCTGACACTCATTGCACTTACCCTGTGCCAAGCATCCCTTGTTTGTATTAGCTCATTTCATCCTTGCCCCAACCCTAGGAGGGAGAAACTGTGATGATCCACATTTTACAGTTGAGAAAGCTTGAGGCCCAAGGAGCTTAAGTAATTTGCCTAAATTCCCGTGACTTAGCCAGGACTTGGACCCAGGTAGTACACTCCTGTAACCACCGTACCATTCCAGCTCCCAACAGGGAGGGAGACAGATGCGTCCCCACCCTCCAGAGCTCACTGTCCTGGAGAAGACAATTACAGAACTAGGCAATTGCAGGCAATTACAGAATGAGGGGAGGGTACCCTGAGAGTACACAGAGGGGCTGCCCAGCACAGGGGGCCAGAGAAGGTTTCTGAGGAAGTGATACCTACCCTAAGACCTGAAAGAGAGCAATCTGGTTTGTAGAAAAATCCTGTGGCTGTCTGTGTGGGGACAGACAGGAAATGGCAGGATTGGATGCAGGGACAGCTTTTTGACTGGTCTGTCACCCCACAAGTCTCTCATTCATTCAACGGCTATTTAATGAACCCCTACTGTGGGGCCAGGCAGGTCTTAAGGGCAGTGAGCAAAGCAGAAAAAATCTTGCCCTCCTGGCACTTACCCTCCAGGGAGGGGAAATAGGCAAGAAACAAAATGAATAAATATCTTACGCTATTTGACAATAACTGCTGGGGAGATGGGATGGGTTGCAACGTTAGACAGAAACACAGGAGGCCTCATCAAAAAGCTGGCATTTGTGGCCTGGTACGGTAGCTCACATTTGTAATCTCAGCACTTTGAGAGGCTGAGGTGTGCAGATCACTTGAGGCCAAGAGTTCGAGACCAGCCTGGCCAACAAAGCAAGACCCCATCTCTACTAAAAATACAAAAATTAGCCCAGCGTGGTGGCGCATGCCTATAATCCCAGCTACTTGGGAGGCTGAGACATGAGAATTGCTTGAACCCGGGAGGCGGAGGTCACAGTGAGCCGAGATCACGCCACTATACTCCAGCCTGGGCGACAGAGCGAGTCTGCCTCAAAAAACAAAACAAAACAAAACAAAACAAAACAAAACAAAACTGGCATTTGTGTAAATTTCTGAGAAGGTGAGGGAGTGAGTGAAGAAGTATATTTCTAGTGGAAAATAGCTCCAGGCAAGAGGAACAGCCGGGCCACAGGTTCTGAGGCAGGAGTGTGCCTGCCGCGTGATGGGTACGCTCTGACCTTGTTTTCACAGCACGACTCAGGCTCCAGGGAAGAGGCTGGCTGTAGGATCAGGGACACCAGCTGTGAGCCCTGCTGGGCCAGGCTGTAGTGCAAGTGAGCCACGGCGGTGACTGGGACCAGGATGGCGGGGTGGGATGAATGAGAAGTAGTTGGATTCTGGGTATATTTTAAGCCAGGACAAATTGCTGATAGATTAGATGTGAGGTCTGGCCTGCACCACAGACAGGGTGGAGTTGTCATTAACTGAGATAGGGAAAGCTGAGGGGAACAGTTTTGGGGAAGAAGCTCAGGAGTCTGTTCTCATACATCCTTCTCATCCCCAGCAATAATAAAATAAATGTCCAGGCTGGGCACAGTGGTTCACACCTGTGATCCTAGCATTTTGGGAGGCTTAGGCAGGAGGATCCTTTGAGCCCAGGAGTTTGAAACCAGCCTGGGCAACATAGAAAGTCTTCTTCTCCACAAAAAAAAAAAATTTTAATTGGAACTGGTGGCTCATGCCTGTAATCCCAGCTACTTGGGAGGTTGAGGTAGGAGGATTGCTTGACCCCAGGAATTTTAGGCTGCAATGAACTATGGGCGCCACTGCATTCCAGCCTGGGCACAAGAGGAAGACCCCATCTTTAAATATATAAAACAAATATAAATAAATAAATAAGCCAGGCATGGTGGCATGCACCTGTAGTCCCAGCTACTCAGGAGGCTGAGGTTGGAACGTCAGCGGGAGGATCTCTTGAGCCCAGGAGTTTGAGATCAGCCTAGGCAACATACAAGACTGTCTTTATTTTTTTAAGGATATATATATATCTCTCCAACAAATACTTGTTGAATGAGTGAAGGAATGGAGGGATGGACAAAGCTGAGATGGCTAGAAAGCCAAGCCCAGCTGGTTTGGGGTTTGGAAGAATACCTAATCCCGTTCTATTAATAGCTCTATGCGTCCCCCACCCCAGCCCTGGGCTCCCTGGCTGGCTCCTGCCCATGCCCATATTTGTGCACATACTTAAGCCTTCTCCTACCTTCATCCCTGTGGAGGAAGCTCTCAGGCCAGCTGGAACCTGGACTTGTCTAGCCTGCGATTCACATGGTTGCCCTGGGGCTTGGATGGAGGAAGAGAAGGCAGGGGCATCCTGGCAGGCAGGGGCATCCTGGCCGGCAGGACTGAGGTCAGGGATCTGCCAGGGGCCTCCATCGGGCTTTTCAGTGCTCAAAAAAGCCACCAGAAGCCCCCATCCTATTCCTGGGCTCTGATCAATGGGACAGAAACGAACACTTTGGGCGATGGGAATGAGCCACAGCAGGAAGGAGAGGCTAGCACTGAAGGGGAGGAGAGGGCCTGGCCTCGGGTGCAATGGAAGAGGCTTCCTGGAGGAGGCAGAGGACTTGTCTCTTATAGCACAGGGTCGAAGCAGGCATTTGTGTGAATTTGAGAACACAGATGCCTCTGGAGGCATCTCGGAGCTCTGAGCACTGCAGCTTGTGTCACAGCTGTGGTGGTGCCACAGCTGCCTGGAGGCTGCCTGGACATAGGGGTGCTTCCTGCCTGAAGCACCAGGTGTCATATTGGCTAGGCACCCAGGCAGAAAATGGGAGCTAACAGTACCATGTTTCACCCGAAGCGTTTCCTCTCTGCACCCTCCTTGGCCTTCCTTCCTTCCCTCCCTCCCGCTTCAGGCTGGGCCTGAAATCTCCAGAAGAAATGGCTCTGGTCCTCAGAGGAAGGGACTCAGCTCTGTGAGTGCTGTGGTTAAGAGCACAGCTCAAGTGCTCTCAACAAGCCGTGTGTTCCTGTGGAGTTGCTTCACCTCTCTGTGCTTCTGTTTCCTATCGGCAAAATGGGGATGCTAATAATAGCTCCTTCTCTGAAGGCTTGCTGGGAAGGAGATTAAAGAAATGAGGTAGTGAGTGTGTAGCATTCAGCACACCATGCCTGGTGTGGAGCAGGCGCCTAGCAAATGGCATCCTTTTGTCCCTCCTCAGACCTAGGGAGGTGAGGTGACTTGCCCAAGGGGTGCCGAGGTATCCATCTGGGTAGATCCAGACCAAGACTTGGGCTTCCCCCTCCCTGTTTCTCTTGCTGCACCTCCACCTCCATTCAGGAAGAAAGAAGATACTTGGACTCCAGGAAATGATCACCGTGGAAACCCATCTGCTGCTTCTTGTCTACGGCTGTTTGTTCCTGCAGCTCTGGGCTGCCTGAGTGTCTCACTGCAGAATTAGCAAGTGCGGAGGCTGGAGGTTTCCAGAGGCACTGAGGTCACAGCTCTCACTTGCTTGAGTCAGATAACCATAAGCCATGATGAATCCCAAGACTCTGCAATATCAGTCAACTCCAGCAGATGCTTCAGTCCGCCCCTGTAGACCCCCCACCCCCGCCAGGATGCAGAGCAGTTCCTGGACCCCACAGGGTGCAGGGCCAGGGAAGCCATCTGGGGGACCTGGGGATGGGGGTTGGGGAAAGCAGGTTCTAGCCTCTGCTCCTCTTTTAGGCATGGCTGTGTGACCTTGGACAAGTCACACCCTTTTCCTGGGCCTTCATTTTCTTTTTCATTTTTTAAAAATTTATTTTTTATTTTAAAATTTGTTTTCGAAACAGGGTCTTACTCTGTCACCCAGGCTGGAGCGTACAGGTGCAATCACAGCTCACGGCAGCCTCAAACTCCTGGGCTCAAGTGATCCTCTCACCTCGGCCTCTTAACACACCGGGACTACGATGTGAGCCACCAGAACTGGTCCTGGGTTTTTCTTTTCTTTTTTAAGACAAAGTCTCTCTGTGTCGCCCAGGCTGGGGTGCAGTGGCACGATCTCCAGTCACTGCAAACCTCCGCCTCCCAGATTCAAACGATTCTCCCACCTCAGCCTCCCGAGTAGCTGGGATTACAGGCACCCACCACCAGGCCCGGCTAATTTTTGTATTTTTGGAAGAGACGGGGTTTTGCCATGTTGGCCAGGCTGGTCTTGAACACCTGACCTCAGGTGATCTGCCCGCCTCAGCCTCCCAAAGTGCTGGGATTAGAGGCATGAGCCACCGCGCGCAGCCTCGGGCTTTCGCTTTCTTATCATCAACCTAAAGTGGTAGCAGAATTAGGCTTTTCAGAGCAAAAAGATCTGAAATTCTTACTCAGAAGTAATCCTGACACAGCTTGGTAGGTCAATCCTTCCATTTCCCATCCTGTCAACATGACTTTGTTAAGGAAAATTTTGTAAAGCTTAGAAGTGAAGCAATGAGGAGCCTGTGTAGCCTTAATCCTCCCACTGGGGCATTGCATAACAAGCCCTCAAGTGTCGTAGGACTCCCTAAAGGGGAGTAACTTTGACCTTTTTTTTTTTTTTTTGGAGACAGGGTCTCGCTCTGTTGCCCAGGCTGGAGTGTGCAGTTGTGCGATCATGGCTCACTGCAGCCTTGACCTCCCAGGCTCAAGTGATCCTCCCACCTCAATCTCCTGAGTAGCCAGGACTACAAGCCCACACCACCACACCTGGCTAATTTTATTTTATTTTATTTTACTTTTGTAGTGACGAGGTCTTTCTCTATTGCCCAGGCTGGTCTCCAATTCCTAGACCAAAGCCTCATCCTCCCAAAGTGTTGGGATTATAGGCATGAGCCACTGTGCCTGGCCTTGTTTGAGTTTTTACTCCCTATGTATTGGGGTCCAAACTTTTTTTGTTTTGTTTTGTTTTTGTTTTAGATGGAGTTTTGCTCTTGTCGCCCAGGCTGGAGTGCAATGGCGCGATCTCAGCTCACTGCAACTTCTGCCTCCCAGATTCAAGCAATTCTCCTGCCTCAGCCTCCCAAGTAGCTGAGATTACAGGTGCCCGCCATTATGCCCGGCTAATTTTTGTATTTTTAGTAGAGGTGGGGTTTCAACACATTGGCCAGGCTGGTCTCGAACTCCTGACCTCAAGTGATCCACCCACCTCGGCCTCCCAAAGTGCTGGGATTTCAGGCATGAGCCACCGTGCCCAGCCTGGCCCAAACATTTAATAAGTCTGAGAACTATGGTGCTAATGTATAGAAAACAGATAAGTTATAAATGATTTTTGTCCAATAGTGACACAAATGACTTCTGACCAATAGAGATCACCCCTAAAGGTTCTAGTTCAAGCACTATAGAGCATTTCCCAATTTGGAATCTAGCAATCTTGTTCTGGCATTCCCTGTGCCTCCTCGACTCCTATCACTGGGTTCTCTGAACCAGCTCTGTCATTCTGAGATCTGCCTCATGAATTAGTGAAATTAACAATAGAGACTTGTGCTTACTGTGTATTTGTATGTTTTTTTTTTTTTTTTTTTTTTACATTTAGAGGATTATAATTTGGGAGCTCACCGAGCCTCATTTTCCTCTTTTGTAAAATAGGGAATTCAAGGGAGAGGTTGAATATGTGCCAGGCACTACTGAGCTCTTTAGATGCAGAATTTCATTTAAGCCTCACAACAACACTGCCAGGGCAGATGGCTATTCCCCCGATTTTACAGATGAGGTTCAGAGAGGTGAAGTGATTGCCCCAAGGCCACACAGCCAGTGAGTAACAGCCTGGATCTGAGCCACTGCATCACAGGGGGCTGACTCCCTCCTCACAGGCTTACCGTGGGACGCGCTGGATGAGATA